TAGTCGTCGCGTGTCTCTAGTCGTCGCGTGTCTCTCTGTAGTCGTCGTGTGTCAGTGGACTCGTTCAGTAATCAATCCGTGGCCTCAGCTGGACTTTGTGTTGATTATCTGATGTTCTATAATAACACTTTTGTTATGAAACACGATGTTGCAGTGAAATCTTAAAACTTCATCTGTTGAAAGAACCACAGAAATAATGTGAAAACATTTTAACAGCAGATATTTTTATTCCTCAGAAGACTGGAACAAATGTCTCCTTTGGCTCCTTTGGTCATTAAATACATTTTTATTGTTATGTTATGAGACAGCAACAAATGGAATATTGTCTTTGTGACGCTGCTGCTTCAGACATCAGATACAGACTCTTCCTCCTTCAGTCTGAGCTGATGAAGAAGATCAGCCGAGGAAGGTGGAGATGAAGACGCTGGTGTCCAGGTTGAGGGTGGCGTGCCACCAGCGGTCGGGGAAATACAGAACCTGATGGAGAAAAAGGGTTTTTATCATTTAGTCTTCATTATGTTACGAGAGTCAAATCACTGCTGCGAGCTGAGAAACGGATTTAAAAGTGTTCACAAGTCATTGTTTGAAAGTTCTGATTCACTATTATTATTATTACTGAACACCATCAAGATCAAATATTGTCCATGACCCAGGTCCTCTGATTGAAACAGACATTTCGGTTTTGAAGAGGAACATTCTTCATAATAATAATAATAATAATAATAATAATAATAATAATAATAATAATAAACCAGCAGCACCTGTTTAAAGGTGTTAGGTGATGTTTACCTCTCCAGGTGAGATGGTGCACTCCAGCGGAGCTTCTTCCTCCGGCAGGTGTGGGTAGGTCTCCGTCACCCAGGACAGGGTGGTGCGGTTCGGGTGAAAGTGCGGCTCCTTGTCCGGCGGGTAGAGGAACCACCGCTGAGAGAGAAGAGTCCTTCACTGAAACCGAGACGTTGGTCTAAAGGGAACTAAAGAAAGGTGTTTGTGTCCTCACCTTTCTGCCGTAGATGACCTCAGAGAAACCAGGACCGTGCCAGTGGAAGGGGACTCCTGATCCAGGACCTGGAGCCCAAACACAGACCTGAAGCCTACGTCTTTAGATGTGATGCATTCGAGTCACAGAAAACTAAACAGTCACTGAATTAAAATTGTTTAAAGAACCTTTTCATTCCAAAAATCCAACAAGAAGAGTTTGTTTACAAAGAACAATAATTCTAAGTGTTTTACATCAAATTACGAAAGAAATCAAACAGAAAAATAATTAAGAAAAACAGCAGAAATAAATGTCGATTTAAAACCGAAGAAAATGCTCCGATTTTAAAGGAAAAAACTGTCATGAAATGATTATATATTAATATTATTTTTGTTAAATCTCTAAACCAGCATCAGTCCTCTTAACCACCAAATATTCAATCTTTTTCAGAAATGTAACCCTTTAAATATCAGTTTAATTACATAATGCCGCTGTTGTGTAAAAGTATTTATTTTCTGTAAACTAAATGCTGAGAACAGGCTGGTATCAATAATCAATAATCAGCGACAATAATGATTTTTATTCACGTTTATTTTTGTGCAGGAAACATGTTTAGGATCAAAACTACAGAAAATGTCGGAGGTTAAACTCTGAGGACGGACCTGCGATGCCGAAGCTGAGCGCTGCGCTGGTGTGAGGCAGGACGTACGGAGGAGACTCGTACTGGTCCAGCAGACGCTGCCACTCCGTCACATTGTTGTCTCCGAAGAAATACAGAGTTTCTGAGGAGACGAAACACAACCAGCAGAGAATCACGCGTGTGTGTGTGTGTGTGTGTGGAGCTCCATTAAAACATCTGTTGTTTCTTCATCATCATCACACTGTAGTTTATTCTGACTCAGTCACACATATAAATACTCTCTAGAGCAGCAAACCTGGATTCATCCGCCGCTGAAAATAGTCCCAAAACAAATGCTCTATTTCCTCCTTAAACATATATATATAAATATATGTATAAAACTTCATCATGTTTAACAAAGATAACGTGTGTAAAAGACTGTTAGTTCATTTTTTGGTTTTTCTCACCAAAAAATGAGAGAAAACGTGTTTTGTTTTATTGTGAAGCTCTTTGAGGCCAATTTGTGATTTTAGTAACAATTTTCAAATATATATATATATATATATATATATATATAT